CGATTTCGTACTGGCAGGATAACGCTGACTTCCACGCCGTTTCTCTTCCGGACTTCTTTGGGTGAGTCTTCTAGCTTTTCTTAGCTGTAGAGACTGTATCCCACCTTCGTCGCCAGTGTTAAGTCCGGAGAATAATGGCGCTTGAGACGAAGCATCTTCCAACAAGTCTTTATTGTTTGCTCCATTCTACGAACAACCCAAGCAGAGGCACGCAGACCTCTATTTATACCCTCTGATCCCCGGGCAAGTTTAACCAATCATGAGGCGGGCTTTTCCCGCCTTGCGCATGCGCACAAGGCTGGCGCCGCTCAGTCTGGTCCCGGGCAGCTTCTGCAAATGCCCGGGACTCTTACAACGTCCCGAGCCTGCCTCTTGCAGGCTCAGGACACAACAAATTCTGTCACAGTTCTTAAGCAAATCACACATGATTTTTTTAAGTGAGACATCACGAGACTTGTGATTTTATTGCCATCTTCTCCATTGACTCTGCTTGTCGGACTTTAACTGTGAGGTATACAAATGGCAATTGCATGATCATGGTACACTTTGATGATCATTCAAAGCACCTGAATCTCAATCACATGACTGCAGGGATAGTGTGACCGTCATAAATGTGAACACCAGTTGCAAAGTTATTTTTTCAGCACTGTCATACCTTTGAGTCACTAAACAGAGCAGTCATTGCTCTGTGGCCTTAAATTACAAAAAGGATGGTTTCAATTGAAGATTTTAAAAAGCTTCTGGGCAGCAAGGGCAGATTCGTACCCCCAATTCCTGAGGAATCAGCTGGAATCAGGCCTACTACAGTGTTTGTCTTCAGAGCTGAAGAAGAGAATTCAAAATACCAATCAGCCAATCCATGCTTTTCCTCCAGATGGCCAACCAAAGAAAACAACAAACATTATTCTGGCATTGTCTCATTGATATTAACATAAATACCTTTACTCCAATTTCATAAATAAAAGAAATTACTGTCACTCCCCACATCCACATTTTTTTCACCACCTGTATTTCTATGCTATTAATTAATGAATGCAGAACAGTTTTGACAGGGTTTTTTTGGCTATGAGGGAAATTTGCAATGGAAAGTTGATATGAAAAAAATGGAAAAAAGTAAATTTGGGGCACAAAGGGAGGAGTCCCAAAAAATCAAAATTGGGGCTACAATTCTGTGGTTGAAACCTTGTCTCTTTTTTATGTATCCTACATACACAATGCACATAAAAAGAGGTGGGGCCTCAATCCACTCTCTCAAAAGTTTTTCAGGTTTTTTACAGCCATTCCTCTATTACATTTTTAAAATCCTATGAAATATGTAGGTGAAATACTAGCATATTGCCAGTTTTGAACTGGGTACTTTGGTCAATAGGTATGAAAATAGATGCATCTTGATAAGTTCTAAACAATACTTGCAGAAATAGATAAGGTAATTTCCAGAAACAGGACACCAAATCTCTCCAAACAAGCTGATATACTAGTCCTTAGAATGCATAGAAAAACTGATTGTATTTCTGGCTCAAGTAATAATGTCTAAATGGAACCTTTATTAGAGAATGAGATGAATGCATGCCATACTTTTTATTTGGCTTAAGATACAACTAAGGCAACCAGAAGTGTATGATAGCTTAACAAAATAACTTTTAAAAAACTTAGGAATTAAAAAATACCTCCTCCCCTTTTCCAAACATGCCATAACCTAGGGAACAACACTACAATTTATACCCTAGTAAATGAAGTATGGGGAGTGTTTCATACAGAGGAAAAACCATGACCTAGTCCAGGGGTAGGCAACCTTGGCTCTTTTATGACTCGTGGACTTCAACTCCCAGAATTCCTAAGCCAGCATGGCTCAGCATGGAAACCTCTCCCTTTCTCCTCAGCATGGCTGGCTCATGAATTCTGGGAGTTGAAGTCCACAAGTCATAAAAGAGCCAAGGTTGCCTATCCCTGACCTAGTCAGTAGAACGATACCTAAGTATTGCTGTACAAAAAATCCTCAAGTTATTACACAATTGGGACCAGAATTTTCATTGCTAAACAAGGCAATAGTTGACTTTTTTGCACCTGATTGTTGTGATTCCTCGCCAGCCAGTGGACCCCGCAGCTGAGTCTGAGGAATCAGAGGAGCCTGGAGTGACATCAGAGTCAGAGGAAGGCTCTGAGGAGCTCCAAGACTTACAGTCTGACAAGGAGCCTGGCCCCTCTACTCGCGCTCAGGCTGAGACACAGCTTTAGTGGGAGTCTGAGTTGGACAGCAATGAATCACAGCTGGGAGATATCCAGGATGCACGAAAACACCGGCAAGAAAAGAGAGTAGGACAGAGGAATGCAATGGGACAGCTCCAAAGGCAAAGGCATTAGGAAGCCATGCCTTACAATCCAAATGAATGGAAAGAAAAGAAATGTATTAATATGATGATTATTCTTTAGGAATACTGGAAAAAATATATACTAAATTGTCATTTATTAAAACAATAAGAATTGTATTAACGCAATGTTTGCAAAAAAGGATGTTTCAGGGAAAGAGGAAAGTAAACAAAATTAATATATGAAATACAAACTATAGAAATTAATTGTTAAGGACTGTTTTTACAAATGTAACCCAGACATCACACTGTTTACCAACTATTGAATGATCTGTTTGTGTAAAAAAAATCAATAAAAAATATAATAAAAAAAAGGAAGGCATGCCTTGCCTGCATAATAAAAGGGAAGGTGTGAGAGGTGCTGGTTGCCGAAGGCAACCGTTTGTGTTGAGGATCGAGTTTCTGTGAACTGTGTTTGTTTGCCTTGGACATTGACTCAGGTCTGTGAATAATAAAAAGGGATTGGTTTTTTCCTGCGGTTCCAGCTTGTTTGTTGGAAGAGGGGTTTCTCCTTGTGAGCTTAACAAGGACTCACGTAGGCTGGGACAAATCACTGATTTTATGACCTTTTTGCTACTGTTGTTAAGCAAATTACTGCAGTTGTTAAGTGAATCGGGTGATTGTGAAGCAAATCTGGTTTTCCCATTGACTTTGCTTGTTGCATGGGAAAGTCACAAATGGCAATTGCATGACCCTGAGATGGTGCAACCATCATAAATACATGCCAGTTGCTAAGCACCTGAATTTTGATCACATGGCCATGGGGCTGCTATGATTATTGTTAAGTGTGGGGACTAGCCATATGTCACTCTTTTCGTTGTAATTTCCATTGCTAAACCAATGGTTGTAGGTAGAGGACTACCTGTTCTGTATTTTGGGGATGTGAAACCCAGGAAACTAATAAGTAGAGTATACATGATGGGGTCATTTTCTGGGTAGATTCTACAGGTGCAGTACTCAAACACCAGTGAAATTCATCTAGCCACCCAGGATCGCTACTGCCTTCAGCTGCGTACCCAGCCAGATGGCCAGAAGTTCCGTGGGGACTGGAGCACCTGGTCAGAATTAGTGTGTGTTGAAGTCCCACCTGGTGCAGGTAAGCAACATCAGTAATGTGCACTGGAGAGAGGTTGCCAGATATGGAGAGAAAATACTTGACAAATGAAACAAAGACTGCTGAGCCTCAAGAAAGAAGAGTCACAAATTCACTACCATGTGCTTCTACTTTAGATTCAGTGATTATGATCGTGGCTATTGCACTCTTGCTGTGTGCAGGACTTGTGCTGGGACTAGGCTTCACCTGCCTTTCCAACTACAGGTAACTGAATTCTATGCAGCTCAGCCATTGAACAAAAAACATAGTTTGGGATATGTGTTGTTATCCTTTTGCAATCATCTGTATTTCTTTGTTAATAGTAGTGTGAAACAAAAGCTCTGGCCACGCATCCCAGACCTACACCGTGTCCTAGATGGATTCTTCCAGGATAATGGCAAGCAGCAGCAGCAGCAGGTAAGACTTTCTTGTTATTGTATTACTTCTAATGCAGCAAGTCAGTAGAAGCAGAATTAGGCTATCCTTTTACCAGAAAAGAAGAACATTCCTGTTTTTTAACTCCTTCCGATATACTTTTTGTGAGAATCTTGCATTATTCTGTGGGCATATTTACCAGATTTCAGGAACAATACGAGCAAAATCATTTCTCATCTGACTTTTCCAAGATGCAGACTTTTTCAGTTCCATCCCATTTCTGAACAGTGATGTATGTGATGATGGAAACAGAAATAAAATGAGGTAATGTTAGTGTGTGCCTAGAAGTCTCCCTCATTCAGGTTACAGTGCATGCTAAATCCTGGGTGGAACTTTTCGTGGTTTTTAACTTTTCCTAGTTGGAGTACATTGCTCTTTTATTGTTTTTCACATTGTTATTTCATCCAGATTCCCATAAAGTGAATGTCAGGGAGGGATGGAATAAACCAGAGGCCCTTTTGCATTTCTGATTGTTTCTTTCTGAACTTTTAGGTAAATGCTTTATTTTGCAACAAAATGTTGGAGGATGTGCCTTTGACTTGCTTGTTGGAAGTACTATCTGAGAAACCCCTGGAAACACGAAGCTTTGATCCTTTGCTAGATATGAGTTTGGCAGAACAGACAGAATGGGGCAGCCAACCTTCTTCCCATCAGCACTACATGGTGCTGAGTTCTAACAATCCCCAAAGCAGCCACCATGAAAATGAATACTTTGATGACACAAATGATAATGGAAACGCTTTCCCACAGACTTTGGAACATGATCTACACGTAACATCAGAGCCAATGACCCAAATAATTCCATTCACCTTGTTGAATGTACCATCAGAGATTAAAGAAGAAAGAAGGCAGGAAATTTCTGATGACCAAGCCACATCTGTCACTGACATTTCAAACCAGACATATTTGCTAATGGGCTGATTTGTGTCTATCATTAGAGGGCAGCACTATGAGAAATTATTAGGCCCTTTGGAAGTTTATAATACAATACAAGCAATTTTCAATTATAAGGCAGCTGTTTAGCCAGTACTCCTCAAATCTGTTTCTTGTGGACCAATTGAATTTAGCAGCTTATTGTACTAGAGCAGATTGGGTGATTTTTCATGGCCAAAAAGTACCTTGAATTTTTGGAAGGCAATGATGCAAAGTGACTAGAACTATATTCACACAGGACTCATTTTGGGGGCGGTGGTTGAAAGGGGGAAAAAATTACACTACAAGGTTTGTTTTCTCATTTCTGAATGGCAGGGAATCATACTGCCAAATTCTGGTAGTGATGGCCAAAGGGTACTTTGGTTGCTGCAAAAGGATTTGAGGATCTGTGGCCTCAAATTACCAACCCAAGCATTGGATTATGATATGGAATTGAATGTGGAACTTTATCCAAAGACATGTCCACATTGCATCTGGTAACCACAGATCTCCAAAAACAAAGTGATTCTTATGCAGCTGTGTCTCAGTGATGTGTACGTCAGCTAAAATAAAACAAGATTTAAAATACCTTTTCCATTTTGAAGAAATAGGATCAACTATCTTCCTGCAAAGTATGTTTTATGGAAATGATGAAAGAATTGTAGTAATACAACTGCGTAACCAGAAATAGAGCAAAATAGAAAATATATCATGCTGAAGACTAAAATACAATTTGTGAGATAAGCACCACTGTTAGGTCACTGTAATAGCCGGATTTATTTCACTGATTTTAAATATGGCACACATTACTACTGATCTGCACAGATTAGGATTCGCTGTTACTATTTGCATTGCCATGGTTGCTTGTAAATAAATATTTGAATAATGCAACTGCTCTGATTCATGGCAGTTAAATGTACTTTTTTTTTTCATGAGGATCAAATTTAGGAATTCACACAGTTTACAGTGAATTACTACAGTTCACAGTGTCATAAAAGCACTTCTTACCATCTCCAGAGAGGTTTCAGTAACATTTTAAAATCCATTTTGCTTTAAAAGTAGGATAACAATGACCCAATATTTAATGGAATCATACATGGAGTAAAGGATAAGTAAATTCTGCTGGCTTATTCTAGTCAGGACAAGATATAGTTCTGTTCTGATGCTTGCTTGTAGCAAGCAAATTAAGTGCACAAGATGTAATACAGCAATTAATGGCACAGATTCCTGGGCTCCTCAGAAGTACTTTGGGTCAAACTAACATAAAGCCTCAAACTTACATAAGCTCTACTGCTGATAGAAAGTCCACAGAAAGGCCCAAAGCAAAGGGTATTTTTGAATGAAGCAAATGGAATTGAATGTGAATACAGCTGAAACTGTCAATTGGGATGACCACAGCCACCTGTCATATATGTGAAGAAAGCAAAACTGTTCTGATGGGAAAAATACAAACAGCAGCTATTTTAAGGTGTCATTGTATATATCACTTTTATAATAAAATGTCAGCTAGAGAGTTGGAACCGTCAATTCCAATGCTTGGTAGGGAGTTGAAGATGATATATTGCAGAGGTCCCCAACCTTTTGGGAACCAGGGACCGGTTACATGGAGAGGTTTTTCCACGGACCAGAGGGGGCATGGTTTTGTGTGCTGCCTGCATCCCGCAGATGGTGCTTTGCTTGTTTGTGCGGCCCAGTTGCTGGCATGCTGTGGCCCGGTACTGGTCCATGGACTAGGGGTTGGGGACCCCTGTTATATTGAATATAAATGTATTCTCTTGTCACTTGGAGGAGAGGTTGAAGTGAGGAAAGAAAAACTGGGATCCGAGACTGCATATTGTAAGTACTTCCCATTTTCCTGGTATGTTCCACATTTAAAGATATATTCTGTTAGCAGACTGGGAATTATATCTAGTGTAATAACAAATAAAATCAAATTTCTCGAATGGAGTTGTCCCAGAAATGTATTTATTAAGAATATAAAGGTTAAAAAAACAATGCAGTATAAAAACAATCAAAAGCAATCAAACAGCAATAACCCTTCATTCCCTGATGACAACAATCAAATAAGCCATTTCATGAGCTCCATCCCACCCTGGGGTCCCTAGGCCTGTTGGCAAAACCATGTCTTATGAAGGAGTGTCAAAGTCAATAATCTCTGTGGGGATGATGTTCCACCGGGAGGGAGCCATCATGGAGAAGGCCCTTCTTGGTTCCGCTAGATGGACCTCCTTAGGAGAGGGGACACATAGCATTCCCTGCTTCCCTGCTCTGGTGGATTAAGTAGATTTGATTGGGAAAATATGGTCCTTCAAATAACCTGGTCCCAAGCCATGTAGGGCTTTGAAGTGACAACTAGTGTCTTGAATTGGACCCCAAAGCAAATCAACAGCCAATGCTGTTCTCAGTTGATACATATGCACATCCAGGCCTGCACAAAACCATGCATGCATTTTGAATCAATTGAAGCTTCTGGATATTTTTCAAGGGTGTTTCAATAGTCAAGACGGGAGGGCACGGGTGACTCTGAGCAGGGATTTTTGGTCCAGGAAAGGGTATAACTGGTGCACAACCTGCAGTTGCACAAAGGGCCTCCTGGTCAAGACTGCCACCTACTCTTTAAGCAGGAGTTATGAGTGTAGAACTCCCAGATTATATTTAAATATCTGAAAATGCATTTTGAAAAATGCATCCAAGATTAAGGGAAGTATCAAATGTACTAATCAATGTACAAGAGGCAGAACATGGAGCATTTTTGTAAGAGAATTCAGAATAAGGCTAAAAAAAGTAACATATAGCAAGTAATGTTACCTTGTTCATCTGTAGTTGGTGAACTACAACAGGGCTTTTCAACCTTTTCACCCATTGTACCACTTTTAGGATATGGCAATATCCGAGTACCACCAGTCGCCTAGCAAGGTGTCAAAAACTTGACCACAAAAAAAGGAAAAAAGTGATGAAGTACAGGTTGTCCTCGACTTACAACAGTTTGCTTAGTGACTGTTCGAAGTTACAATGGCACTGAAAAAAGTGCCCCCCAAGCCACAGCCGAGCAAGACACCTGCCTGCCCACCTGGCAGTGCTCTTCTTCCTGTCCGAGGTTTTCATTGTTGTGAGCATTTCTGTTGGGGATTGGCAGTGGGGATGGGGTGGGGGGGTGTTTGGTTTTTATTCCCCCCCGTCTGCTGGATGGTTGCAGCAGGTTTTGGTCAATTCACATGACCCTGGGACCGTCATAAATATGAATCAGTTGCCAAGCATCTGAATGTAAATCACAAGATCCTGGAGATGCTGCAACATTCCAGGTGATCAGTGCTTCTTCTGGGCTCAGCAGAAGGGCCAGGAGCAGCGCCAAGCTCCAGCTGAAGCCTGGAGCTGATCCTGGCACTTCCGCTGAGCCCTGACAGTCCCAAAGAAGCACTGATCCTGGCGCTTCCGCTGAGCCCTGACAGTCCCAAAGAAGCGCTGATCCTGGCACTTCCATTGAGCCCTAACAGTCCCGAAGAAGTGCTGATCCTGGTGCTTCTGCTGAGCCCTGCAACTCCAGCCCTCTCTCGCTCAGGCTTGTGCGGTGCTGCCACCGGTTCAGCTCATTCCCCTCCCCCGCTACCACTTTTCTAGGATGGTCGTGTACCACCTGCCAGGTGCCAATGTACCACAGGTGGTACCCGTACCACTGGTTGAAAAGCCCTGAACTACAACCATCAGCATCTCTCACTATCAAGCCTGCTAGCAAAAGCACCTGGAAATAATTCAGCAACATCTGAAGGGCTGCAGGGTATCTGCCTCAGAGGACTTCTTGCTGGGATCCATTTTTCAAATAGCTGAGTTGAAAACTGCATTTGCTAAACAGCTTCTCTACTGTACAGTACTACCTATTTGGGTCTTTCTTGCAAATAGAGGGTGCAGATGCTGATGCTAATGGTCACCAATAAACAATTGAACAAACTGACTTTCTAAATTAAAAATCTATTATAAGTGTCCATTTTAGGACATTACTTTGTTCCTTGGAATACGAAAAGGCTCTAGCCTCCTAGATTAAGGCTGGAGACCCACAACTTGAGCGCAGATGAGCTCCATTAACCATAAGGAGAGGATGAGCAGTATCTTATGGTATGATGTTGAGGGAAGTCAGCCCCCCCCAGAGAAGGAAATATTAAAAGGGCAGAAAAATATATTTCCTCAAAAGGATTTTAAAAGCAGAAACCAACCCTGTCCCCAAGTCTCTCTGTCCCAAGCACAAGCCAGCCCTATACAAATGCTCCAACACTGGAAGTTTTTAAGAAGAGACTGGACAGCCATTTGTCTGAAATGGTGTAGGGTTCCTGCCTGAGCAGGGGGTTGGACTCGATGACCTCCAAGGTCTCTTCCAACTTTATTATTATTACTATTATTATTATTATTATTACTATTATTATTACTATTATTATTATTATATGCAGATGTAAACCATCAGAAAGGCCCCAGCTAGGAGATCAAGAAGACAAACACCTAAAATCTGCATACCCCACCTGAGATGAGACATAGTAGGACTAACCCATCACCACCAAGAATACCAGAGAAGCACACCTAGACTCAGGTCAGAATCCGTGACACAGGAAATAGCCTCAAAGTTCATGCCACAGGAACAGGAAACCATTCCAAACAAAAGGCTTTCAGAGGATATAAAAACCTACTCCACATGTGCTTACCCCCTTTTTTTCCTTTTTGTCTTCTCTCACTTGCCAGAACCATCTTTCTGTCTGGCTTTTCAATAAACTGCAACCTTCTTTCTAAAGCAGTCGCCATGTTGTTTATTGATCCCCGGCTTGGATGAACCAGGATGAAGATTTTCCTTTCAACAATGTCTCGTGAAAACGAGTCTCTTTCCATAAATCTTGCAATTGCCTTTAAGAACACTCTTTTCTCCGATTTTACCACTTGAATTGCTTAGCACAGGGGTAGGCAACCTTGGCTCTTTTATGACTCGTGGACTTCAACTCCCAGAATTCCTGAGCCAGCCAAGCTGGCTCAGGAATTCTGGGAGTTGAAGTCCACGAGTCATAAAAGAACCAAGGTTGCCTACCCCTGGCTTAGCAGAAAGGTTTACATCAATTTAGACTTGGCAATCAAATAAAAGCTATCCCCATGTAATTTCTTGCGGCTTCCGTCTGAGCATCGAGCCATAGCCGTTTGCTAGCCTTAGAACGTTGAACTAAAAATATTTTAATTATAGCGTCAAACGCCATGGAAACGTTCCCCCTCCCTTTCCCTTCCCCCCCCACCCCACCGCGAACATCGGCAGAAACCTTTTGCACGCCACTTCCCCCGTTACGACAACGTAGGAACCATCCAAGGCAACTAACCACCCAGAGAAACTTTTGGTAGCAAAGCCACACCTACCTACATCCAGGGGCCAATGAACGTAAAGTTAGGCGGGCGAGCCGTAAGTCATCCGGCGGACGTTAAGTTCGAAATGACCAATAGTTAAACAAAGTGGGAAGTTTAAATCCTGAATGGCGGAAGGAGCCGGAAAAGTTGGAGTCAGAGCACTGGTAAGTTAAGAGGTTCTGCCGAGCCGAATTTTTTAGGATCCTAAAAGCATTTTTGTTTTTTCTGATTCTCGATTTCTTCCGGTCCTCTAGTTTTTCTGCCCGATATTTCTTGCAACGTGTTCTGCCGCGGTGCACGAAGTGTCGTTTCCCCCCCCCCCCCAGTGCCAGAAACAGACCCAGAAATTGTATGAGGAAGAAAACATGCTGCTTTGAATCAGCAAACGTATCGCGATAAGAAAAAAAATCACTATTTTGTCTTATTGCAATACGTTTGCTGGTTAAACCTCCAGAAGATAAACTGAAAAGTACAAAGCAAGCTCCACCCTGTTGAGCTATTTGAGGGAAAAGTCAGGTAGGAAGCAAAATATTAAAGAAAAGGAGGATAGTCTTTTCTTGCCACTTGTGCTTTTAAGGACTACATTCAGTCACCTGAATCTTATCTCGTTTGTTATTCTGGAACAAGATGTGTGAACCTATAGCCATCCTGTGGATGCAGGCAAGTCCATTTTCCTGATGTTCTTGTCTACTGTCCTTTCTTATCTGAGATCAACTTACCTACTTTTTCCCTGGCTCTGATTACACAGCACTGCATCCCTATGGCACAGTTTCTGTTTGAGAGTGATTTGCACGGGCTGTTGAAACTTGATGCCCCAATACCAAATGTCCCTCCTGCACGATGGCAGCGTAAGGCTAAGGATGGTGCTGCTTCCAGCACTGGAACTGCCTCAGATGCCGCAGCTCCTTCACCTATGAAACCAGCTAACAGGCCTCATAGTACCAGCAAGACGCCTTCCAAAACACCAGGTAAGATGTATTTTGTAGCCAGTGGGAGGATAAACATCACTGTATGACATGAAATCAGTGCAGCTCTTTGTTCTCTGCTATTTCTCCAATTTGTTTTCCAGTGCTGGACATGTATGTTTATCTTAATGACCCTTTCAGATAACAATAAAAGTATCTTGTTCTCAGGCTAGCAATTACCTGAGGGGATACAGATTAATGAAATCTATGTTTTGCAGGCAAGTCTGGTTCCAAATCACAAAATACTCCAAACAAAACTGGAGGCGATAGATACATCCCCAATCGTAGTGCTATGCAAATGGATGTGGCCAATTTTCTCTTAACCAAAGAGGAATCATCTGAGGAGACACCCACCAAGAAGGTAGAGTTTAAATGTCTGGTACAGTGACTGAATTCTGTGTGATCAAGTACAGTATTATTGATTTCTTAGTGTTTTTTTTCCCCTCCAAGGAGCATCAGAAAGCCTGGGCAATGAATCTTAATGGTTTTGATGTTGAAGAGGCAAAAATCCTGCGACTAAGTGGAAAACCTCAGAATGCCCCTGAAGGTACAGTAAGTCTGCACTGGGCTTATTCAACACAACTGTAAGTTGAAAAGTGAAGTGCATGGTGGGTTTCCAGATGCATCCCTTGTGGATAAAAGCTCCTATCCATAATAGCTAGCTTCTAAACTGGTACTGCAGCAGTAGTCCATAATCTAGTTCATTCAAATTGATTCCATTGATCTATGTTTGTGTTTTAATGGGAATTAGTCTAGGGATGTTCAGTTAGCAAGCTGACAACTATAGACTTTTTTACAAGCTTCTTATCTTTTTTTTCAAGTCACTATTTAGAACCACACTGGAAAAAGCAGCCCTTTTTTTTTTTTTGCATTTTCTGAATAACAGCACTGATGCTAACTTGAATTAGTTTGTGTTCAGCTTGTTTAAAAAAGAACAAAACTTGACTTTCTCATAATGCAATCCTTCGCTGCCCTAGAAAATAAACTCTATAGTATATCTTACATTCTTCTCTAATATATTACCTGTTGTATATGTTAAGATTGATGTCTCTATTGAAAGAAATCCAGCTAGTGCCCTCTAAATGGAGATTCCCATTTCCCAAAATTTCCATTGACCGTTAGCTTGGAATTATAGGAACTTTTGAGTTTTTCTTGATTTATGCTGATAATTGTTTCCTCTTTTCCAGGATACCAGAACAATCTCAAAGTGCTTTATAGCCAGAAGAGCACACCAGGTTCCACAAGGAAGATAAATAGATACATAGCCTCTGTGTCAGAGCGGATTCTAGATGCCCCAGATATTCGAAATGATTACTGTAAGCAGCCATAGATTTGAAGTTTAATTTTAGTGAGACTTTGTTCCAAAGTGCAGAGGATACCTATCTGCTCTGCCATATTACAGCTGCCTTTGAAAGAATTATGCACCCATATTGTATTGGATATGGCTACCATGGAGAGGCAGGAAAGGATTGTATTGACTTGGCTTTATGTTTCCAAACTAGTGTGTATTCTCATTTAGATCTGAACTTAGTTGATTGGAGCTCCCTCAACTTTTTGGCCGTGGCTCTGGATAAATCAGTTTATCTATGGAATTATGATTCCAGAGAAATAATCCAGCTCATGCAAATGGAAAACCCTGATGACTACATCTCTTCTGTTTCATGGATCAGAGAAGGAAATTACCTTGCAATTGGCACAAGTAATGCTGAGGTCCAGGTGAGGCAACTGAGACTGTGTTTAATGACCTCTGTGCATATTGCTAACCTAATATTCTGGCAATGGGGCAGAGAAGAATAAAAAATCTTTTAATATTAAAGCAAGTTAAATTCTCTTTTGGGGGAAACTTCTGAGATACCTTTGGTTTTTTAAACCAATGTGGGCTTGTTACATTTCGGATTGGAAAACTATGAGCTGCTTCCTTTCATAGTCCTTATGGTCATGATTTATTTCTACATAGATGAAATACGTTCATAACAAGTGGGACAGCCTTGTGCATTTTATCACTTGCGCTGTATTCCATGAGACAATAAAAATTAACAAGGTTGGGTATTTGGACTCTGTTTATATTGATTTAGTTATGGGACATCCAGCAGAAAAAGCGTCTACGAAACATGGTCAGTCATTCATCCCGTGTGAGTTCTTTAAGTTGGAATAGCTACATCCTGTCCAGGTAATAATTTCTAAGCAATAGATCTCATGGGCACTGATGGGGAAGGGGCCATGTGGCTTATACATTTCATAGTGAAGAGAAAATATATTACACTGGCCGCCTGGTATACTTGATAAAGGAGAATATGCTAATTTTCCCTTACAGTGGATCACGGACTGGTCACATACATCATCATGATGTCCGTGTGGCAGAACACCATGTGGCAACACTTGCTGGTCATACACAAGAAGTATGTGGGCTAAAATGGGCACCTGATGGCCGTTACTTGGCCAGTGGAGGCAATGATAATCTTGTAAACATATGGTCAATTGCTCAAGGGGACAACTGGTCACTACCTCCTGTGCAGACTTTTACACAACATCAGGGAGCTGTTAAGGTAAGTACATATCTATATTTAGATAGTAGACATACATCTATTGGTACAAAATTATATGGTATAAAGCTCAATTAATGGTCATTTGGGTAGCTCTCTAACCAGGTTCTACAGCTTGCAGTGTGGTCTGAATCCAAACCATAGCAATTTAGGTTCTCTTGGAAATTGAAATTTGTAATACAGTAAACAAATCTTGATTGTGAGTTGTGATTTTTAAAGTCCAAAATGGTAGCCACTTTCAGGGTCTGACAGCACAAGAGTGACAATTTGTTAAATAACCATGACAAGAAATTAAAATGATAGCATTTTAATAGAGCTTCTTAAGTTATAGATAGTCCTTGTTTTGCAACTGCCTCATTTATCATCCATTTGTAGTTATGATTGTAATGAAAAAGTAACTTTACGACCTTCACAGGTCTGTAAAACAAAGGAAAACTGAAATAAGACCATAAGCACAATTGCAATTTCACTTAGGAACATCTTTGCTTAATGGCCCAGTTTGCCTGTTCCAAATGTCAAAAATGAGGACTATCTGTAGTTTGCAAACACAGTATTTCTAATCACAGAGAAGGGTGACAATAGTAAACTTTTTCCCTTAGGCTGTGGCTTGGAGTCCATGGCAATCCAATGTGCTGGCTACAGGAGGTGGAACAAGTGATCGCCACATAAGGATCTGGAATGTGTGCTCTGGGAGTTGCCTCAACACAGTAGATGCACAGTCCCAGGTAGGTTTGCTTAATACATTTTGAATAAAGATAAAGATTGTTTCAATACTCTAAATTTAACATGCTGCATTTTTTTTCTACATAAGGTTATATCCAGTCAATATTTTATTTATTGGATACTTTTTCTGGTATTAATAGGTCTGTGCCGTGCTATGGTCTACAAACTACAAAGAACTTGTGTCTGGTCATGGCTTTGCTCAAAATCAACTGGTAGTGTGGAAATACCCATCTATGTCAAAGGTCACGGAGTTGAAAGGTAAGACCCATTGTGGAAATACTGCAGTTACATAAATGAAGGTACTATGAAGCCCACGAACATCAATGTGTACCAATAATATTGACACCTAACGGCATCCCTGTCTAACTTTTTAAAGATTTTTATATAATTACAGAACACTGGCATCAGCACAAATCTTTACACATATTTACAAAATTGTTCTTGAGCCCAACAAACATCCCACAGCATGCTAAGGGCTATTTTCTTTTCTGGTAAATTGATGTTTTAAATTTGATTGTGTTCACTGTAGCAGCTCTTTTGTACATGCACGAGAATTTTTATTTTGCTCCTAAAATTTCAAATGTGCCAATGGCCAAAATGATTGCTTTTCCTGAGTTCGATTAATTTAACCTACATATTATGGTGCTCAATTCCACAAAGAAAAGGTGCCTTTGCCAACTTGAATAAATTACCAGCTATTATTTACAATTATTTGTAAAATGTATTTCCTTAGGTCACACTGCTAGGGTGCTAAGCTTAACTATGAGCCCAGATGGAAGCACAGTTGCTTCAGCAGCAGCAGATGAAACACTGAGGCTTTGGCGCTGCTTTGAGTTGGACCCAGCACGTAAGAAGGAGAAAGAGAGCAGTACTAAAACCAGCATTATCCATCAAGGAATTCGCTGAGTTTCATCCAACTCCCTTCCAATCTATTGCTTTATGTACAGAATTTTAAACTATTAATAAATATTTCACTCTCCTTTAGAAATAGTGTTGGTATATGGATTGATATATGAATCACAAATGGTGTGAATTACTTTAATTGGTATTGGCTTGTATATTACTAGGACTTGGCTTGTATATTACTGTAATAAAAATAAACTATTGAATCTATTGAACGAAAATAAAGACCAGATTCTCCTCCTGATCCAACCGATAATATATTGTTCCTTCTCAAAATCCCCATGACAGCTTTATCACTAGGCAAATTGTCTTATGTTTGGTCTTTTCTTTGCTTTCGAGGAACAATTTAGTTGTGGGACGGATTAGGTTCCTGAACTATTAGTTTGGGATTTGAAGTATGTTTTCAAGTCATAACTGAAGCTGGTGCCTCTATGCACCAGATGCAGAACCCACATACCATGTAGGATGATTGTGACAGTTTATCAACCTCAAGATGCAACATCCTGTTATGGAGAAACACTGTTTTATTGGGAAATACATAACTAAGAATTTTGTCTTGCCAACTATTGTTCCCTTACCAAACAGATATTGGAAATTCGCTTAGCTGAACTCGATAATTTTACTGAACTATGTGGGCTGATATTTAAGATTGCTCTTCCAAAACTATTTTCTTTGAATTCAGCCTCAGCAGTTATGGAATAGTTTATCCTGAGAGTTAATCATTCCACTCCTTTGTTATTTCTTGCACTTCTTTTATACTCAAGGCATTCTAATATTCCAAACGCTGGTGGACAAGTCTAGCCTTTCTGTGGTTTTGGTATCTTTTTGCCTCAATCAAATCAACTGTAACCCAAAAATTCCTACAAATGATTTTACTGCCTTCTGATTGAATGGAAGCTGTGAAAATCCAAGCCTAATCAAGACCAATATTAGCCTCAGCTCATCTTTGCCAAGTACACTAGAATTTTTCCAAGATTCTTGGGTCCTTTGCAAAAACATGAAAATCATCTGTTATTAAGTAATCAAAATGACAGTAGAAATTATTAGACAATTGCCATTTTGGCAGATAAAATCTGTAGTGTAACTATTTTGACAATTGGTTGGGAGTCGGGCAATGTACAAATTTAATAAATAATAAAAAGATGCAGTAAGATTATAATTCAGATTACATGAATAAAGTACATTTTTAATAAAGATTCAGGAGTTGGTCTTCAATTCATCAGTAGGGCAATTCATCTTATGAAATCTATCTGTAGTTGTAACTAAGTGAAACTGCTTATGCCCAAGAGGTGTAAACATTTCTGTTCCCATATGTGATAGAGTTCTCTTCTGGATTTCACACAGGTAATCCTTGACTTATGATTATTTGAAAATACAATGGGTCGGGAATGAGTTCTTTATGGCCTGTTAAGCATGTCTGCCCATCACAAAATATGCTATATACAGCCTTACAGTCACTTGACCATATTTTGGGTGCTTAGCAACTGGCTCAATTTTATGACCAACTGCAATATCCTTTAGTCATGTGATCACAATTTGCTACATTTTCCCCAGAGGAAAAAGTTCACACAACCGTATTGTTCACTTAATGATTTGCATAATGACCATGGTGATTCACTTAATGATCATAAAAATGTAAAATTGGGTCCAGTCAAGGGGATACCTCCACCTACAATCGTTGACAACTTATGACCGCGAATCAATCCCAATTGCATTTGTAAATCAAGGACTACCTGAATTTCTAAAACACTAGTCCTGTAGCAAGCTAATGGAAACTATATTGAAGCCTTATTAACTAGTCTAAACATACAATTCTGATACCTACTCATTCAGAAAACTGCAGATAATCACACTCAAAATTTAGAGCAGTTAAATGTACATCCTATTTAGAAGGCACATGGCTATTCAAAAATGCACCACATCAGACACTAGGGCAACATGAATGTTATTTGACAAGTACTAAGATCAGCACTTGTAAAAATGCTGAAAAAAATAAATACTCCATAAGGGCCTCTTCATTAGATTTCATGCAAACCAATGATTCTTAGAACAGAAATTTACTTTGGGTTTACAAAAAAGAGCATTTTAGAATGGGTAAGCTATACTGCCTAATTTGGGAACTGTAACATACTGATTTTTCATCACCCTTGCATGATTATCATTGAATATTGATCCATTAAGTACAGCAAAAAATGTTGAGAGAAGGCACACATATAGGAGAACAAACAAGTATCTTTTACTTTTTTCCAAATTGTACCCCTAAATATCCCCTACATTGTAAAAGCTTCTCAGTCAAACATTGTATCAGTTTTAAAGGTTGCCATTAGCATTGGTTTAGGGTTTCTCAGACATAGGTGGGGAAATGGTACACAGTAGGATAATCAGCGGTGGAAAGGTAAGTAGTGTTACAAAACCTATTTCAACCTAACAGTGAACTTAGCTTAAAGGCTTTTGAACAAGATTGCCTTGTTTCAGAATGGCCAGTGAATGTATCAAAATATTCTGGGTTATACAAATCTCTCCAATAGTATATACAGCATTGTTTATGGCACATAATCTAGATTCTAGGTTAGTCTACCCCTGAGGTAGAGAGACCAATACAAGTTTATTCTAACAACAAAAGTATTTTTAGTGCCTTAGCTTTTTATATTTGCCAATATATCCTTACTTTCATATTTTGGCACTCTGAACTTAGGATGCAATACAGATCTAAGATTACTTTTTCCAATTGATTCTATTACAGAATTATTTTGTACGCCACACACAGCAGTTGTAGCTTTTCCACTTGTCACACTCAACCAGACCATAGGCAATAGCACCAAGGACTACAGGTCTCTTCAAGCCCAGGAGGATAGGGCCCAGTAGTTGGAACTACACCAAGAACCTAAGCCAGTACAAACAGGAAAGCATCTGTCCTGAAAAAGTGTCCATATAAGGAGAACAAAATTAATACTGTGCTGCCTGGAATAGCAGACAGGACCAGCAGGAGCCAAGGTCTTTAATGCTGTATTGAACTTTGAGTGAAGGTATTCTATAGATCCAGAAAACTAGTAAAAATTTTCAATTCCTGTGTTCTTGAACAGAAATAATCTGACGCCTGACACCATGCACTATGGATGAGCCAGAACATAGCCACCACTTTATTACAATGCTTCACAGGACTTTGATCTCAGTTTTTCAGCTCCTCTCATCTAGTAAACCAACTTCAACTAAGATGCCAATTCACTGCAAGAAGCAGTAGTCATTGGAACTGAAAATCAATATTAACATAGTACTTACAGTAAAGTCGTTCTTTTCTCCCATCAGGCCCAACCAACAATGATCAAGGCCTTGAAATCAAGAACAGAATGACTATTCTCTTTCTATCCATTTATTTCTGTGAATACAAATGGAAACTTCAGGAGAGAGATATCTCCTCCTGAGAAGTCCTCCCCAAAATTTAGATTATAGGGAGCCTCTATTATTTGGAGCAGATCCAATGTTTTAAAAGGCACACAGAGCAATGGCATACAAGCTGGACAACAGGGTCCTATTTCTTCTCCCTGGACCTCAGTGCAATAAGAGCTTGCAGTCATCAAGCCATATGGAGATTGAAGTCCAGAGTTATTGCTAAGGTCCTGGGATCAAAGCAACCAAAGCTGCGGAGCAATGCCAAGAGAGGAATACAGCCAAGGCAGTAAGACTTGCCTAGTAGTACCCCATTTGCACACAGAGCAGGAAAAGTTATCTCCAGGAGGAGTTATTTCCCACCCCCAGCAAAAAGGGACCACTTACATTCAAGTAGGAAAGGAGTAGGGATGGCAGGACACCAATGGTAAATAATAAAGAGAATTAATAAATGACAACACAAACTTAGAAAAAGCAAAGTAACAAAAATCCCCACCTAGATCACATTGCGTACATTGAATTAAGTGGATAATTGTGTCCCATCTGTCAAGGGTTCTGCTTTGGTCCAGCTCTGAACGGAGCCCAGCCCAGGGCAGACATAGGCACTTTGGAGGCCTTGGACTAGATTCAGCACCGACAGCCCAGGCAGCCTGTCTCCCTTGGGGAAAGGTGAAAGCGAGGCAACAAGGGAAACAGGGCAGTTGGGAAGGTGGTTTGGAACTGCAAGATAGTCTGTAGGCACTTGATCTGGTTAACAAGCCCAGATATGGGGTCTAGTTGGTTTGAATCACCTTGATCCCACCCCTAGTTGGCTTTGACTTTGCCATTAGCAATGGCACCATTCTCATGGAAGCCATTTTTCTGAGGTTGTGTCATGAGCTTGGGCAGACGCTTGCCTTTGGTATATGACTGGTACCAGAAGTTGGAGAAGAGAATGAAGAAGATAACTCCATAAATCCAGATGAGGTGGATGAAGATTGGGAACTGATATTTGCAGTCAGGCATGAAGTAGTACTGGGAGATGTGGATGGAGACGAGCACAAACTGCAGCTAGAAACAGAAACAAGGCAAAGATGAAATAAGTAAAGGTGACAGGTGGAGCTCCTTCTACTCACAGGCAATGATGAGTAATCCTTGGAAGAAAATAGAAAGCTCAACATAGGCAACAAATATCAAATTAGGTTAAAAAGTTTCTGTAATTAGCTATTCAAAAGAAACCGAATCAGATGAAACCGAATCAGATGAAGTGACCAAAGCTGGTTTGTATAACTTAATCAAAGTTAAAGATGCTGGCATAATTTGCCTATTTTTTCCCTTTATTACTTACCAGCTGAATGGCAGTGATGTGCTTCTTCCACCACAGGTACTTTTGGAAAGCAGGTCCTGCAGCTGAGAGCGCATAATAAAAGTACATCACAACATGTACCATACAGTTCACCATAGCATGGAAGGAGCCCATTCCTCCTGTAGAATAACAGAGAAGAGAGAAACAGATGTCAGTAATTTTTATTCAGCCCATACAGTCAATTATTTTTGCCTGTTATTAATGTTACATATTAGTGTAACCTAGCTTATGACTTTTAAGTGTTTTATTTCTGAAAAGGTAAAACTAAGAATCTACCAAAGTACATTCACAACACTGGAAACGGAGTCAACGGAGCATGCAAATACTGAAAATTAAAACTGTTGGTTAAATATACTGGACTGACCCATGGAGACCTTGTTTATAGATATGCCACAGACAGCTATAATAAATGAAATGAATATGTAAATAAATAAAACCACTTTCCCATGGTGTTTGTTTATTTGTGGAACTCCCTGACTTGAGATTACTCTTTTTTTTTCCTTTTTGGGCAAATCTCAGAGATAGCATTCAATCTACTTTTGTGAGAAAAGTTCAGTTAGTCATTTTTTAATTCTTTTAATTGTTAAATGTATTTTGTAGTATCACTAAGTATAAGGTTTCTTCTATTTGTTTTAGATCTTCAGACCATTTTTTCATATATGAAAATATATATATTCATTTATTTTTTAGATTAGATATTGCATTGCTGAATATTTTTTAATAGTAGACTAGTTTGGAAGAACATGTATTGTTTTATTTATTTATGAGAATCTTATCTTGCCCTTCCTCCAGGAGTTAAAGGGTTAGGTATTAGGAAATCCAATTTTTGGGATATATATATATAGGTCTTTGGTTATTCGTCATCTTCAGGCTGGTGTTTTCGGCTTCATGCTTCTAGGAGCAATGTGTGATCGCAGCTGTTTCTTCCCTGAAGATGACGAATGGGACTTCGTCGAAACATCGCCAAGACACTTCCAATTTTACGTGGGAGAAAACCCGAATAACCAAAGACCTACGTACAAACACCAGCGAAAACCTCAGAAAACAAATATATATACGAAAGCTTAGTGTTTTATTGGATTAAAACTTTTATAGTTTTGCAAAATTTCCTGGTGTTCGTGCTTTTTAGCTACTTGAATATGGATATACCTAGGAATCAACAGTTTGTTTTTAATATTATTATTTATATACACACACATACACACACAATAGAGCCACTAAACTCCGTAATAGAAAAAACTTTTTAATAAATACAACTTAGCTTTCGTCAATCCTCTGTTGACATTGTCAGAGTTGGTAATCAGTGGTTAGAGAAAACCACTTATATTTAACTGTCAAACCATGACACACACATACACACAGTTTATATATATAAACTTTTTATAAAAATAAATTCAATTGTTATATATACATACATACTCATACATACACACAGATACATACTGTACATACACAGATACATACAGACACATGAATACACACTCAGATCTTTCACCTGGAAACATGGTAACTATACACTGGAAATATATGTAATAGCCAGGACTTTAATGATGACAGGAAAATAAAAGGGTTTATTTTAAAATCTACATATATCAAAATACAAAGGTTTGAAAAGATCCAGGACTTCTACTATCCAAGCATGATTTTAATAAAGGAAGCAGATGAGGGCAAATAACTGAAAGTCTGAGACTGTCTTGTTATTCCTAGCATATCCTGGATAGCCAAACTATATGTTCAAGTATATATAACTATAATGAGAAAACACATATACTGCATGTATTCATGAGATACCATATTATAAAGAGACATATCTGAAAATAATTATGGATATATTTTTCTCAAATCTTGGAGTCAAGTTCTGGAGTAAATCCCCTTTTAAAATCTCACCTGGACCAAATTTCACACCCCACCACCAGCTCCAGGGTACCACTGAATGGTGGAAAACATGCAGAAAGGTCACTTGTTCATTCTTTTTTCTTAGGATAAAGATCACCTGGAAACAACAATACACTGTGAGATGTAGGTTTCAGGTTTTAGCTAGTAGCATCTTTATATGTCTATTCCTAATCTATACTAAATCTAAAGTAGAGAAAAAAGACCACAATGCAGTCCTCAAAATATGACCATCAAGTTACTACTAGACAATCTTTTAAATATAACTGTATGAATCAAAAAGCACATAGTGTGACCGACCCAGAACATAGTGCTGCATAAATGCAGCAAAGTATGCATTTCTGTATGGTTCCCACAGGACAGATTATTTTGACTAACGAAGCATCTGGGCAACCCCCCCCTCCCTCCGTTCTATGTGGCAACCTAGAATGAGAAGAAAAAATGGCTGCAGCCATGCTCACTGTAGAGTTGACAGACTGACCACTATACTTTTATAATATAAAAGCTGGAAGAATAAGTAGACTTGAGTGGCGACCATCTCAAGATACAGGGTGAAAAGCACCTATGTTTTAACTAGAAAAATAGGATCAATCATAGGAAGTCCAGAGTCACTTACTGTATCCATCAGCTCAATGACTTTAGAGAAAATGAAGATCCATGCCGCACGGACCATCTAGAGACAAGGTAAAAGTTAAACATCCTAGCCATCACAAGATTAAAATCCCATCTTTCCCTCCACTTTTCTTTCCTTTTATAATCTCCCTTCTCAACACTCTTCTTAGAACACTTTCACCAAAGGTTGTATTAAAAACTAAAGAAAAGAAACACAACCTATAAGAGAAACAGGACAACTTAGGAGTACAGGCAGAATGAAGGGAGGACAAGACAGGAAAATGAAAAACAAGCTTACCCTAAGAGCCCTGGGATCCTGGGATGTATCAATAGGGTCACACCTCCATGTATAACCATTTAGCCAGCCTGACATTAAAAACTATCAAAAAAAAAGCTATTAGAACTCATCATTCCCAGTCTTCTTCTTCATTAGACCTACATTCCAATAACATTACAGTTCATAACAGCTTTCTTTTCTAGGTCTCCTATGCTGAGCAGGGTCAGACCAAACACTACAGAATTTTCAAATAAATATCAATGCATTTAATAACTAATACACATGTCTTTTTACTTGAGGAATTTTACTTCAAGTATTTTTATTGAAGCAATATTTTACATATTATTCTGCTACAATGCAAGCCTTACAGACTTATTTTGCATTAACACCAAAGTAGGTTTTTAAGATATAAGATATAATTGTGATAGATTATATTTATCTCACTGAATAAGTGTCTTGATATGGAAAAATATGTTATTATTGATATTTCATTTTTTTTTAAAAAAAATCAGTGAATAACACTGATTTTTAAAAAAAAATTAAATATCAGTAATAACATTATATTTTTCCGTATCAAGACAAATCCCATGTTATTGTACTTGGGGGGAAAAATGTACATTCACAGTGAAACATAAAAGGATTCAGAGAAGTAATTCAGCATAACAGCCAGTAAAAATACTTGACCTTGTATGATAATGGTCTATTAGTATAAATTCTGTTGTCTTAAGTTATAAAATGAGCTTGCAAGATTGCCTATTAATAATCATTCTACAATGTCATTTGTACCATTACTAGTACAAAAATTCAAAATTCATGGAAATAGGCCCCCTATATTGCATCAAATTTTTAATACCTAAATACATAAAAGTAGTGAGGACAAGTACAAATATTTCTATTTTTCCTTGCTTATAGGTCCTAGATGTGAAAATGTTGCATCTGTCTTTCATATGAAACCTTTGTCTAAGTAAGAAAGAATAAATATTTTCCAACTTACTACTAAATCAGGTAATTTGAACATGCAATAGTGAGTGTTTTAGTCAGAAATTGTGAGTTTTTTAATAATAATAATAATAATAATAATTGTGTAATAATATTGTGTAATACTTGTGATGGTTTTTTTATATGATGAAAACAATAAAAATTTTATATTGAAAAAAAAAATATTGTGTAATAATATTGTGTAATACTTGTGATGTTTTTTTATATGATGAAAACAATAAAAATTTTATATTGAATAATAATAATAAAAAAAAAGTTGGAAGGGACCTTGGAGGTCATCAAGTCCAACCCCCTGCTCAGGCAGGAAACCCTACATCATTTCAGACAAATGGCTGTCCAGTCTCTTCTTAAAAACTTGCAGTGTTGGAGCATTCACCGCTTCTGGAGGCAGGTTGTTCCATTGGTTAATTATTCTGTCAGGAAGTTTCTTAATTATTACAGACAATTTAAATATATGCTATATATTTCAAACCAAAGATAGGGGGCTGCATTTTTGCAAAACTTTTAGTATGATAAAAGTTTCATATCTCTTTTGTGAACTCATTCTGTTTTAGATATGTAAAACTAGAAAGAGACTTTGAAACCGATGTTGGAGAGTCAATGTAAACAACAATGGTATATCTAAGAGCTACAGATAAAAAATAATATAGGGAGAAGCTTACCTCATAAACAATGTAAAGTGACAGTGCCACCAAAAAAGAATTATAAAGTATCATGAACTTCTTAAGGTTCAGAGGTTTCCTGTTGGCCATGAGGCGTGGCCCCAGTGATAATACAAAGTAGGAATAACCCAATAAGATACCCGCCATAGGCCAAGGAGAATCCATAAGTGGATATGAAGCAATCCGGGGGTCTGTGGGGAAAAAAAAATAAGGATCCTATAACATATTAAACATTTTGTTATCAGCAGCCAATGCACCTGGAGTATATGCTTTTTAGGGATAGTGGTATTTAAAGACTTGTGAATCCTTTTGAAATTTAAATACTTTTGCATAAATATGACCGAACACATGATCGCTTATCAACACAAGTACTAAAACTAGATAGAGAGAACCAAATTAAACAAATAAGTCAAAAACATTATATTTGTTCATTGATTTATTGAGGAAAATGATCCAAAGCTACGTATTTGTATGTGGCAAAAGTATGTGAACTTTTGAAGGATTCATTTCAGGGGGAAATTAGAGTCAGGTATTTCAGTCAATGGGACAATAATCAGGTGTAAGGGTAGGAGCTCTTGCCTATTAAAAGAACAGAATTCTGAATATTCACTATCAAAGTCTGATCTTCGCAACACAGAGATGTGGAAGTGTGTCATGGATCAAACAAAGAAGGTATCTGAGGACCTCCAAAAATAGTTGTTGATGCTCACCAGGCTGGAAGAGATTACCAAACTTTCCAAAGAGTTTGGACTCCACCAGTCCATTGTCAGGCAATATGTACATTGTCATTATACAAATGGAACCAGTTCATTACCACTGTTATCCTCCTCAAGTTCACATTAAAAGCAAAATGTCTAGTACTCCAACAGGTCTCAAAGAACCCAAGAATAATGTCTAAGGAACTAAAGGCCTCTCTTGCATTTTCAGCATTCATAAGACCACAAAACTCCAAACAGCCACTACAGTAGATAGTATCAAAGATATTGCTTTGAGGCAGCTAGTAGTTGCCCAGATTTTACAATTCCCTTTCCTTAAGGGCGGAGGAAAGAATAGCATATGACTATAATGACAGTAACCTCATACTCACATTTATTTAACAAATGTTTATATGTAAAAAAATTAAAAGAGCCTCAACATCCAAGTGGGATGGGAAGGGCATAAAATGCAAGGTAAAGAGGAAATGATAACAATGGACACTTTCTGTCCCTTTCCAAGGTTGCTTAATTGAATCTTAACCTTTTTCTAGTTATTACAGGCAAATGCAAAATCACTTTACCTTTACCTTTTCCCATACAATGTTTAACTTTCATATCCTGTCAGAGAAAAAAATCATTCTATACATCAGACTACAGACTACAATTTCTTGCCATGCTGCTTCTGCCAAGGGAAGGCCAAACTTATATTCTCATCTGGACAACTAGCCAAAGATCTTGTGCCAATGCTGGTTCAAGGGTGTCGGAGGCTCCTAAGCCAAACTGACTGATGGCGCCAGCCCCGCCAACACAAAGATTTGGTTTTTTAGAATGATTCAGAAGGAGGGACAGTGTTGGTGCCCTCTAAGCTTTGGTACCCAGGACAAATACCTATGAGCCTTAGCCTAAAGGTGGCCCTGTCTCGTGCTGTGCTACTCCTCTGTCACCTCCTTTTTTTGTCTGCTAATTGTGCAGGTTGGATTGTTCCATTATTCCTGGATATTTCAAGAAGAGAGTTTGCCCACAAAATGGGCCAGGACTATGTCTGGTACTTCAATTGTTTTAAAAAACCAACACAATTTCCTATGCCGTTTGATGGCTTCATTTTTCAACACATATTACATATACTTTGGCCAGAAAGTTGTTTTAAAGAGAAATGGTGTGCATTGCATAGCATGGTGGCAAGGAGATAACCATCACTCTGCAAAAACAATGTTGTTGCTCATCTATAGTTTGTGAACGACCTTGTGGATAAACCAAAAGGCTATTGGAAGAATGTTCTGTGAAGAAATGAGACTAAAATAGAACTTTTTGGCTTGGAAAAAAATATGAAGTTTTGCGAAAGACAAGGGCTGTATTCTACCCTAAGAACTTTATCCCATGTGTAAAATATGGTGTTGGTAATACCACAGTTTGGGCTTGCTTTGTTGACTCTGGGCCAGGATGGCTTGCCATCATTGATGAAATTTTGAATTCTGAATTGTATTGGCAAACTGTACAGGAAAATGTCAGGGTCTCTGTGTGTGAATTGAAGCTCAAGAGGAAGTGGTCATGCAACAAAACAATGACCCAAAAATCTAAGTCATACAAAAAATGGTTATAGCAGAAAAAAGTTAATACTTTGGAATGGTCAAGTCAAAGGCTTGAACTTAAGCCTATAGAAATATTGTGAAAGACCTGAAGTGAGCAGTTCATGCAAGGGAGCCCACTAATATCCCTGAGTTGAAGCTGTTCTATGAGGAGGAATGAATTCCTCCAAGACAATACCCATGATCAATAGTTATTGGAAACATTTACTTGTAGTTATTGCTTCTTAAGGGCAATACTCTAATTATTGAAATACTGAAAGCAAAAGTTTTGCAATACACAAATATGTAGTTTTGGATCATCATCCTCAGTGAATTCAATTATCAGCCTAAACTTGTTTCCTTTTGGGTAGGAAAAGGAATAAAAACAAAACAAAAAATAGTTCAAGTTTCAGTCTTTCAACTAAGATCTGCTTACCTGCTCCCTTAATGAAGTCTCGATACCTGTTCACCAACACATCCATGGTAATAGTACTAGTTGCTGTTCTGCATAAGAAGTAAAAGTATTAGTCAGTGCACCAGAACTGGACAACCTACAAATCATGCTTTTATTTGGATGCAAGTAATGAATAGCTCTGCATTATTATCCAATTCACAGCAGAGCATAATTATTTTGGGGATGAAATAATTGATTTAATTCTTGTTTTTACTGTACACATCTAGGATTCTTTTTTTCCCCTATGAATGATTTTGACAGTACCGATAGCAAGATAAGTAAAAAAAGTGCAAGTAAAACAAAGCTATTCAAACACCTCCAGTCTAGTGCAGGCATGCCCAACTAATGCCCAACTAGTAATGTGGCCCAAGGTAATTTTTCTTCACTCAATTCACCCAGGCAAGCCAAAAGGTTGGGTACACCTGGTCTAAAGGAAGCAGCTCTAGAGTTTCATTTAACCTTCAGGATAAAGAATCAGTGCCCGCATGTGTTATACAAGTCACATGACCTTCTCAAGAAGGAACAGTAAGCTTAGAGTGGGTTTTCTCTATACTGCAATTGATGCATTTGAAATTGCAGCCCAAATTATTATTTGTGGATTAAGGGTTACATTTCTCAGGCCAAACTTACTGCATACAGAAAATATTTTGTAGCTGAGTAAGAATACCCAGCCAAAAATAATTTAGGCACCTTGGCTCCTTCAATGAAAAAAAAAATGAAGTACCAAATACTTCCAAACTAAACACCTTTTTTAAGAGGAGTGCAAACCTATCTAGAAAAGCTTATAATCAGTTTATTCCTAATATACAGGTAGAGGTCAAATATAATATCCTAACCAAGTTCAAATGGACAGAAAATAATACATGCTATATAAATGGAACTATATTTTATCTCAGACCTTATAGCAGTGAATCCAAAATAAAAAATGCTACTGTTACTTTCTGAAATTTATTTTGTTGATCAACCAAACAGGTTACGAGAGCAACCAAGGCTTTTAGGACAGCATGTTAAGAAGAAGTATTCTAACACAGGGGTCCCCCGACCCCCGGTCCATGGACCAGCACTAGTCCGCAGCATGCCAGAAATTGAGTCATGCAAACAAGCAAAGCGGAATGCAGGAAGCACACAAAACTACACTGCCTCCAGTCCACGGAAAAACCTCTCTCCATGGAACCAGTCTCTTGAGCCCAAAAGATTGGGGGCCGCTGCTCTAACATGACTAAAAATATTTATGTAAGTGGCCAACCTGAGAAACAGGACATACAGAATAAGAAAAATCACAAATCATTTTCTAAAATATTATTTTTCGTATAGTGACTCAAGCTAGAAAGATGCCAAGAAAGACTAACACATCCAGCCAGAATACAGATAATTCAGAATAAGCTGTTACTGATGGGAAAGGAACATACAGTATCAGTATACATCGCTGGTGTCAAACTTGCGATGTCAACGTGTCATGACGTATCGCGACTTTTTTCCCATTGCTGGCAATGGGGTGAGTGCGGTTTTGGCGTGACACATCCGGATCGTGGGCCGGCAGTTTGACACCCCTGGTATACATCATGCAACAAGAACAAATAAGGGAATTTAGAACAGTCTCACTTTAAGAGGATCCAGCCTTTTTTCCCCCTTAGAATTTATGAGGGAATGAACAATGAAAAATCAAGACAAGCTTAGGACTAAGAAAAAGATTGGCAAAGCATACCAGGAGTCTGGTGGTGTCAATCTGCCAACTGTTCTTGGCTTCTCTGAGTTTTGGAAATTTGTCGGCAAGACCAGGAAGAACAGAACAACCCTAAAAGTACAACAGAGACAGAAGATCAAGATAAACAGTCCATATCAATTATGAGTAGCTTTTTCCTGTTTCTATTATTATACATAAGAATATACTCTGACAGTGAAGCTAAGATAGAAATACAGATAAAGCTGCTTCAAAATGTCTAAATCAGGCATGTCCAATCTTTCGGCTTGCCTGGGTCGCATTGAATAAAGAATTGTCTTAGCCACATATAAAATATATAATATAGTTAATATATATAAATGCACATAATATTAAAGGTTTACTTGTGGGGTTGCATTACTAGCTGTATAAGGTCACAGGTGTGGGTTGGACATGCCTGCCCTAAAGTATAATATCTACATGAAAGAAAGACTAATATTTTCTCTGAAACAATTCACCTTTAAAAGGGAAGCACGTCATATATTTGCCGTGAATATGGCAAATGAGACTAGTTTTTTTGTTCTGTCCAAACATTTATGATTCATCCATGCAGTTGTCTTGGCAGTGTTATGAAATTCCTTTAAGCTATATATTTTTATCTCCCATCCTATCCCATCCTATACTTGGCTACAATGCAATGCAAACTCTTCCCACTATTCAAACCATGGCAATTGCTGTTGAATTGACATGGAGGAATATGGTAGTTTCTTAAAGAGAAACCAAGTTTCCTATCTTTCTATGTCTAATCATTTGTACTCCACTGAAGCAATAGGGCAAAACTTAAGCAACTTATCTGGGCAATAGGAAATAGCTACTCCTTGCTGACTCACTGGCGTATAACACCAGACTTTTATGGTCCTGAATAAGTATAGCTCTGACTGAGGGGCACATATTGCACAAATACTGTAGGCATATTAGTTCCTTGAGAGGTTAAGGAACCAGAACTTGTCTGTAACATTATGTTTTTGTATTTAATAGGACACTGATTACTGTGATATCAGAAATATGAACTTTCAGCATTAATTTTCCCACTGGGTACTCTGTACTATGAGTTACATTTCCCTGCTTATAGATGATTACATGAGCATGTCTGTTCAAAGGCTAAGATTTAATCAGTCTAAATATTTCTTGTTTTACATAGTACAGAGAGAAAGAGAGAGAAATGAAGCGTCCAAGACACTTTCCCGCACGATCAGTAAAGTGCAGTAGAGCAGTCACTGTCCCCACATGGATCCAACTTGCTCAGCCTGTTTGGGAGCTGGAGGGAATTCTGCTCAGTATTCTGTCACATAAGCAGCCCAACCCCATATTCTAGTATATGGTGCAATTGTGCCATACAAACACCCAGACCAAGAATACAGCACAGTTCTTCCTCATATCTTAAATAAACTAGACAATGCAACTGAAACCTGTGGTATTCTCAAAAGCCTATTCCTATACACTATGGGGCCATATAATATTGTCCGGATACCATTCTGCCTTGGCACCAGTGCATACCAAAGCACTGAACAGACCAGACTGGAACATGTGGTAGGAATTTTTACCAGCAACATTCTACATGTTGCTAAAATGGCTTTAAAATTGAAAGCCCCCCCGCCTCACTGGTTTGAGAAGAAAAATGTTTTAGTTGACATCTGCTCATTAAAATTAAACTGTCATCAACTTTATGTAGAAGAAATAATAATTCTAGTGCTATAGAATTCAAACCATGAGGGTAAAAATAATCAGAAAATCATCCCTCCTCCCATCACATGCAATAGAGCAGATCTGAATATCCACATTGGAACACATTCACTATGCATTGTCCAACTGCAATCACAGAAACATTAATTGGAAATACATATTGAAATAAAGCTCAGTTGTGCTTCAGCTTCAACTTATTGTAATCTAATATCCAAATTCCAGTTCCACCCACCTGTACAAACAGTATTCTGGCAAAATTATAACATGACACATCAAGCCCCTAGCTTGGCCGCACCTCCAACCCACTGACATTCTGAAATCAACAGCACAAAACCCCACACCCACACGGGTTGCTTGCATAGAAGTGTTGTGCCTGGTACTGCCACGCACATGGATGCAGAGAAGAATCTCTCAATAGCATACTGATGCATAGAGATGGAGGAGGGGATTGGAATCCTTCTGTGCTTGTCCTGCCAATTGAGGTTGTGCTGAACATCCAGATCAGTGGAGAAAAGTACTCTTGAAATGGAGGACAACACTGAAAACAGAAGTTCCAACTCCAATTTTATGTTCAGAGCATTATCCTGACCACAAACCATATCTGCTAATTTCCACTAGTTCAACTGTATATCCATTAGATTGCTACTTCTTTTAGAATAAGTCCAAGGTTTTTTGAATAAATATTTTCCCTAGTTCAGTGAAATACTGTACAATAGGCTACAATAAAACAGAACTGCCTTAACAGTACAAATATATTACAAAGGGGCCATCGTGAATCTGACAATCATATAAAATTATAGAATCTAAAGCTTGTAATAGAGGAACAAACTGATCAAGTCAAAAGAATTAGTACAGAGTTGCCATTTAAAAGACTGCTATGTCCAAAGGGAGAAGAAAATGGGCTCCATTTCAATCTTCTCCTCCTCTGGGATCCTGCAACATTAACAGTTCTTAGCAAGTCATAGCTCCCCACGTTGAGATGACAAGTTAAATCCTTTCAAATCTCCTGCAAGCCACATTTTGATCATGTTGGTGACATCCAGTGCGATAGGCCCAGGAAGGGGATTTAAAATATCTTTTTGTGAAAGAGACAAAAATACTTTCTTTTCCAATTCAGTAAAACATAATCGCATCTGAATAAAAATAAAAGACAAGCTATAATGTCTTTGCAATAATAATCAAACTATCAAATAAGAGCAAGAATCACTAGTGTTGACTTACTATCAGAAGCCAAGCTAGCCTGATTTATTTATTTTTGTTTATTTGTATCCCACCTTTATTATTTTTACAAATAAGTCAAAGCAGCAAACATATCCAACACATCTTCCTCCTATTTTCCCCAGAGCAGTAACTCTGTAAGGTGAGTTTGGCTGAGAGAAAGAGTGACTGGCCTAAGTCACCCAACTGGCTGTCATGGCTAAGGTGACACTTGAACTCATGGTTTCTTGCTTTCTAGCCTGGTGCCTTAACCATTAGACAAAACTGGCTCTCATTTAACTTCAAGAGTCTTTACTAAACTTAACTTCAAGAGTCTTTACTAAACTTAATTACAGCAGCAACTCTTGCTACACCCTACCACCCCTTCTCCAGGTAGAAATCACAGAGATTGTGTCAATAATAAAAGTCACATGTGTTTCCTCAGTGATAATCCAGAGTTGAGCAGGCAGTGATCCTATCTGCCTTAAGGCAAAAAACATTTCATTGTAATTGAACTGCTGCTGTTGGTCCTTCAATTAAAACCTTTGAGTCCTCAAAACACTGAGGTCTATTTTCAGATTAATGTTTTAGATAGGGAAAAAATAAGCAAAGGCCACTCACTAACTTCATCCCATGTATTCACCTCCTGTAAAACTAATGACTTCCATCTAAATCCTAGGCGATATTGAAGGCTGCAGTATTTAGAAAGCCATCTAAAACATTATATATAAGCATAGTGCATATTGGCAGTTTCCTACTAATGACTGCTCCACGACAATTAAAAGTAGATCCTTGACTCAAAGAGGACAGCCTTGATGGGGTAGTCATATGACTATGGGGTAGTCATATGGGTAGGTTGAAAAAAATGCATCTGCTCCAGGTAACCAGCAAGCCACAAGCCATAGTTAGAATAAGAGGGGGGATTAGTACCTAAACAACTGATAAAATCCCTAAGATGCACAGAATATTTTCCTGCTTTTATTTACCAGCGTGCCTGTTCATATTAAGTTCCTTGTACATAATGATTTTGACAACAAACTACTGGACTACATAATGTCCTAGACAAGAAGCATGTTTGGTTCCTTTCCTTAATCATTTACAGTTCAAGTCCATGCTAGGATTTATACATTCATATGGCAGATGGTTTCAACTATTAAGGGAATATCCCCTATGAGATACCCTCAGAGCCTCACTTTACAGAACTCAACATTTGCTCCAAAATCTGTACTTGGACAATCACCCAAACCAGAAGATGAATACTACGCAATTACAAACATCACTTTAAAAAATACATGCATACATTAATCTTCTCTATTTATATAAAACACAATTTAACTTTTTGTTAAAGGACTCTAACATGTCTATCAACTGATTTTTTATTTTTCTGAGCTTTCAGAGAGTCACTTATGAACAGATGCATTTTATGCAAGTTACATTTTAAGCCCACTGTTCTCCATGAGTCCCCTACACTGCCATGTTTTTCTCTTATTTTTCATATAGTATAAACAAATGAGGAAAAACTATATCCATTTTTCCTTGCCCATACTTTTCCACAGCTTTTATTACTGCTATTTCAATAGGCTTCTATGTGCTACAGAATTGTACATACAGTAGTTAAGGAGCATATTTCTCCCAACTTCATCTGTTTCAGAATGTTGAAGGAGGAAATGGTGATAGGGCAGATTAGCTGGAACTGCATTCAAAACTATTAACCAGCAATATGTGCCTACATCAATATTAGACAGGTAAGCAGTGTCTTCTATAGAATAAAATGCAAGATGCATAAGCTGAATTTAGTGGAAAAGAAATTAATGCAAATAGTCAGTGGAAGACTATAAGTGATAATTAAAGTTATTTAAAATGCAAACTTGATTTTCATTTCCCTGAAATACTGTCGCTATTGAATACCATGTCTTTGATGTAATTGAGGTGTCAGATAAGCACAGTAACATGCCAGAAATGTGCCCTCCTGCACAACTACATTCCACATACTCAGCTCTTGTCAAGAATGTAGCATACAAGCTGGGCAGAAAAAGTTTACAGGCCACCTCAATCAGAAGCAATTCTTTGTATCTGGAAGAAAACTGACTGAATATCTTCTCCTTGCACAATCCATTCACTCATGATCTGATATCTTCACAAAACTTTAACAACTCCAAATGCAGAATAAAAACAGCCCACCAAAGAAAATAGTTGCTATTGTGCTTAGCTGGGACTTTGGGTGGATGTAAAATAGTCTAACAAATCAATAGTGATGATATACTCCATTTCAAGTATTGAATTTATTGTAAAGTCAGATTTAAACATCTTATGTCTAACTGAGCATATAACTGTCTTGATATACAACTGAAATAAATAGAATATAACAATCTATGACAACTCTGCCTACTGAATCTAAAAATATAAGATTTGACTATTTAATTCACAGACATTTTTCTCAGATCCTTTTGCTGTGTACCAATGAAAATATAGTGTTGCAATAAAAATTATTATGTATGTAACAGGTACATCCATTATGCTATAACTTTTCTGTACCTTGATCAGATATGATGAAGAGTCTCTATTCCACAAAAAATATTGTTCATCTTTAAAGTATCTCAGAAGATTTTCAGCACTGTACTTTGAGGGAAATCAACTTGGGTAATGACTTGTCAAGCAATTTAACGCAGTTGGTAATGTCCAAGATATGAGAGATTACTGACCATTGCAAATTCTTGCAAATGCATGCATCCATTGTTGCTTTTTCATTCTAATAAAATTGTTTTTGTTATGTTTGGTGCTCATAGCTGTGCAGCACAAAGATGTGCAGCCATATTAATAAATCGTTTCCTTACTTCTTAATCCCTAGTCCTTGAGAACAATGCTCAGATTGAGGTTTTCTCTTATCACCATACATTTGAAAAGAAAGGAAAACAAAGATGGAAGGGGAGCAGGAGATTAATTTCCTTCTGTCCCTTTCTAACTGACTGGTGAGCTATAAACTATGGCTTACACATTCTGATATTGCTACTGTACCTCCAACCCCTCTATTTTTACTAAAGAGTTTGTGCAAATGCAGAAGGCTACGCATAATAACCTACAGCAGGCACAATAAAAGTTTTGACTGTTTCTCCTGCAGAAACTTTCTGATCCTTTTTTACAATTAATCCTATTTCAAAAAAATAATTTTTTCTAAGGATAGCAAACAAGGATGAAGAAAAAAAAAAAGGGAGAGAAGAAAAGGATGTACAAGAAACGAATGGCTAAATTCAACTTCGGCATTCACCTGGGGAGGGGGGGGGAAACCTAAAGGAAGTCTATCTATGCCACCAAACTGGCACCAAACTGAAATCGCTAAGCTTTTAGCAGCTACATGTCAACGTTAAGATTGTTTTACTATCACACTGCAAGATTACAAAAAGCCTCCCCTGTTGAAGTTCTGCCTGACGTCAGAAGCCCTCGAGTGTGTGTATGCCGAGGGGGGGAAAGAGGGTGAATTTCGATTAGCAACTGTGCCCTTCCTTCCCTTCTTTTACGGTTCGACAGTTTTGCCTCAGATTAATCCGTCACGAAGACCTGCGCTACTAAGGGAAACTTGTGCATAAGCGAGCCCAACTCGCTCCAGTTTCTCCAGCCCCATTTGCCTTACGAATATATTCGCGGCCTCTTCTGAAACAGCATTCCCGCCTCCCGCCCCCCCCCGGCCCCTCGACCCCCATTTTTGCAAACCACCGAGGCAAGCCAACCGAGGCGAGAAAGGAAATAAGCCTCTTTTTGCCCAGCTCCCGTTGCTTCAACCAGAAAGGCTCCCGGCCTCTTAAATGAAAGACTCGGGGAGCCGCTCCTGTCAAGTCGGCCCTGCGTCACGCGCGCCGCGGGCAGGCGGGAGAGGCAATCCCCTTCCCCCCCCCCGCCGGCTGAGCGGAAAGAAAAAGCTGCCGGGTACGCGGACTGGGAGAAGGTGAGATCGGTCCAAAGCCCGCAGCGGACAGGGCGTGGCAGCCGGGGAAATGCAGGAACGGGAGGGAGGCAACCGCGCGAAACCGGATGGGATGGGATGGGAGGCCCCGAAAAGCCTCGTTAAAAGGATCGCGCAATCTCCCCTGAGCGAGCGCACTCACCCGCCGGGGCGTCGGACAAACAGGAGGAAAGCGGCGCGTCCCTGAGAGCGGCTCGAGCACGTCTTCCCTTCCCGGTGGACCTGCTTCGGAGTCACCCCAGAGTTAAAGAGGACCGCCCCGAGCGCTCCGCTGCCAGCGATTGGCAGAGCCACGCTGACTATGATTTACCTCACCGAGGAGGAGCCAGTCGTTGGGCTGCCCCGGAGGGGAGCGCTCTGACAGCTTGATAGGCCAATAGCTCCCGGCGGGTGGTACGTGGCAAGGGAGGCCGCGCTGCCGATTGGACGGAGGTTTCTGGCGGCGTCTTCTCCGAGTCTCGCCCAGGCTCCGGAGGGAGGGCTGGGGCAAACCTGCCCGACTCTGGAATTGGCTCGCGAGAGCTCTTGGCCCACCACCGCGCCATGCTGGGCCGTTTGGGTGGAAGTGTGACGGCAGCCGTGCACGGTGATCTCTGGAATAAACGTCTCCCGTCTTTACAGTTCAAATCATTGCCTTCTATCATTGGACCTTCTTAGGCCACGGACCTGGTTGAGATCCTACCTCACAGTCTGCTTCTAAGCATGTGACCTTGATTTTTACCCTTGTATGAAAATGGCTTCAAAATAATAATTCTTTGTTTTGTTCAGCCCAGTTTAGCAATCCTATAATAGTAGGTTGATAAATGTGATGATGGATTGTGTGCTATTAACTTGACAGTTTCATGGCAACCACATACATTCAATATGTCCCAGCCTCGGCCTACAGGTCTTTTTTAATCCGATGTCTCTGTAACTGACACCATCCACCTGGCCATTAGTCATTCTTTTCTTGCACCTTGCCCACTACTGGAGCCTTCTGAGAGGTGTGTCTTGACATAATGGATCCAAAATATGATCATTTGAGCTTGGTCATTTGGGTCCCGAATCAGAACTCTGGGTTGATTTGTTCAATGTTCCATTTGTTTGATTTCTTGGCTGGCTGCTGTATTCTTAGGATTCTTCTTAAACACCAAACACCAACACCAAAATACCGACACTCTTTGCATTCTGCTTCTTCAAAGTCCATCTTGGGACTTCCATCTTTCATTTCCATTCCAGGAAAAAGTGTGACTTCCCTCCATTGAGTTAGTGTGACTGGTAGATTTAGCAAGGCCATTGGAACAACCTGCTTCCAGAAGTTGTGAATACTCCAACACTGGAAGTTTTTAAGAAGAGATTGGACAGCCATTTGTAATGGTATAGGGTTTTCTGCCTGAGCAGGGGGTTGGACTAGAAGATCTCCAAGGTCCCTTCCAAATAATAATAATAATAATAATAATAATAATAATAACAACAACAACAACAACAACAACAACAACAACAACAACAACAATATTGGCTTAATAAAATATATACATTGGCTTAATAGAGTATATCTTGACTGCAGTTACTCAGAAAGGCTTGGAACAGCTCACACAAAACATAATTTCATAATACATTTAATAATTATATGATTCCATATAAGTATGTATTAGTATTTGTTTGTTACCATTATTGTCTTACCTTTCTATTAGGAAGAAGTTATACAGCACATGGAAATCTTCATAATATCCATATGGCAATCGTCGTTGATTGATATAAGACAAAGTGATCCAATGAGTTTCCATGGTTGATGATGGTAGGTATGGATTTTGAGCCTGCCTTTAACTCTAATATAATCATAGAAATTTGGAATGAAGTGGAATTAGAGCAAAACTGCTAAAGGTAAACTGGGACTTAAGGAAAAACCAAATTAAAGACAAAACAAGTGAGAAAAAATATAACATTATGAAACTACTGCCCATAACAAAGATACATCTGTAAAGAGCTGTCAGTAAAAAGAGACTGATGAGATTGATGTCATTCTTTTAAGAAGCAAACCTACTCAAGTACAAAGAATTATCCCAAAAGCTTTTAACTCTTTTTTTATACTGGAATGTATGTATGTATGTATTATATATATAAGCTTTTAACTCTTTTTATACTGGAATATATGTATGTATGTATGCATGCATGTATGCATGTATGTATATATGTGTGTGTGTGTGTGTGTCGTTCTCTAATCCATTTGCAGGTCTTTCTATTTTGTCTTGTAATGCTGAGCATGGATCTTTCCATGGCTCTTTGGGCCACTCATAGTTTTCGTATAAATTGTGAGGTTAGTGTCCATGTTTCACCAGCAAATGTTAGAGCAGATAGCACACAGAAGCACAGATGGGGAAGTGGGACCAGGCACTCCAATATGGTACTTCCCTCTTGGGGCCCCAAGCCAACTGGCAAAGCCAGATCTTCAGACTTTTGCAGAAGGTCAGGAGGATGGGAGTCAATCTCACCTCAGGGGGCAAGATATTCCAAATTGCAGGGGCCCTGGCAGAAAGGGCTCTTCTCCTGGACCCCATCACCCAGAATTCCTTGACTGACAGGATCTGCAGCATGCCTCCTCTGCTAGAATGGGGGTGGGTGGGCCTGTCGCATAGGGGTAAGACAGTTCCTCAGGTAACTTACACCCATGTCATGTAGGGTTTTATAGGTAATAACACCTTGAATTGCACCTGAAAGCAGACTGATAGCCTGTTCAGGTTGCAGAACAGCAGTGTCACATGGGCTCAAAGACTGCCTGCACTACATACTCTGCACCAGTTGGTGTGGTGTGTGTGTGTGTACACCACTTATACAGTATATATACCACTTCTTCATTATAAGAGGCCTCTTTTATGTATATAACTATTAAATGTAAGAATTCACTACAATAAAATAAGATAAACCTAATATAAAGACATTTAAACAACTTATTTCATTCTTTATAATATTTAATAATTGGGTATATCATATTTTAACCTCATACCAAAATAATCCTATTTATAACAGTAATAATAATTTTTCTTACGAAAGGTCTTTGTAAAGGCAGGTTATCATTACTAGAGAAGACCCCTTTTTTGAAGTAAATAAATTTGGTATAATATTTCAATATAGGAATTTAGGCATTGTGGCCTAGCAGATGAAATCATGGGTTGATTTCTTAGATAAATTAGTAATAAACCTAATAACCACTAAGCATTCCTGTCTTGGATCAACTTGGGAAGAGAAAGGGCTTTGCATTTTTACTGCTGTTACTGTAGGCAAAATCAGATGTGAAATAATTCTGGATCTGAAAGTAGCCTCTAAAGACAGAGGGAGTATTGTCCTCATACTGATTAATTTGACCACATAATACATTGCTTGTTTCTTTGTTAAATCAAGTTCTGGCAGCTTTGCCTTTCTTTAATCAGCCTACACAGCATTGTGTGTAGTTCTGATGACAGTGTTCAGAAGAAACGTACAAAATATTGTTCCCAAGGCTGCATGTAACTCCCCAGAAGAACCCCGGTTGCCGAATCTGAAAGCAACATTTCATCTTCTAATAACTGCCCCCTCTCTCTTGCAAAAAGAAAAAGAAAAAGGTTGGTCCAACAAATCCTGCTGTTATGCTCCTTAAGCAAATGGAAGTTTCATGCTCCTTGTTTAGGTGATGACTTCTATAGCGGCATTATAGTAAAGAATTCTGCATCACCCTACTTAGCATATAAGCCTCGAAGTCTAAAAAGCAAAAAAAAAAACACAGCAGGACAGCATTATGAGATTTGTGGCCAGGACACAATGGAACCATATGAAGTAAAATAGAATGAGTTTCAAGAAAGAAAATGCTTATAGACTTAGAATCCATATCCTTCTGTACAGGTTTGATTTAGAGTGAAATCAATCACAGGCACGAAGCATCAAAATTTCCATACTTATGCGATAACAATATATCTACAGTATTTCAACCTTGATCATCAAATAACTTAACTTTAAACTTAACTTTATATTACTTCCTTTTACTTTTAACAATCTTGATGTTTAGTCCCTTCAAATAATCAAGACGTAGAACTTGATTTGTTTTCATTTGTCCCATCTCAGAAAATTCTTCAAAGTTTTAATAAGCTCTTTTGTAAATCTAGTATTGGAAAGTTATCCAGGTCACTTTTTGTATATCCCTTTTAAGTATTAAGATATCAGCTGGTTTCCTTTTTCTATCCAGTATAACATCTTCCATATCATTCTTGTAGTCTGTCATTTTTAAATTCACTTGCAGATTAGTCTGTCTGTTAAAAACAAATCATGCCAAAACAATCCTATTTCATTCTTTGACAAAGTGACTAAATTAGTAGACCAGCAAAATGCTGTGGACATAATATACTTAGATATTAGTAAGGCATTCAACAAAGTAGATCACAACCTACTTCTTGGTACTGGTGGACAAACTCTACTAAATGAGTAGTCCTTAATGGTACTACATCTACAGTACATGGAGGGAAGTATGTAGTGGGCTATGACAAGGTTCCATCTTAGGCCCAGTACTCTTCAATGTATTCATAAATGACGTAGATGAAGGAATAGAAGAGTAACTCATCAAATTTGCAGATGACACTAAGCTGGCAGGAATAGCCAACACCCCAGAAGATAAGCTCAGGATTCAAAAAGATCTTGACATACTTGAGTCCTAGCCAACAAAATGAAATTTAATTTGGAGAAAAACAAGGTTTTACACTTAGGCAGGAAAAACCAAAGGTACAAGTACAGATCAGGCGAAAACTGGCTCAAAACAGCAACTATGAGAGGGACCTTGGAGTCCTAGTGGACGATCACTTAAATATGAGCCAATGGTGTACGGTAGCAGCCAAAATACGTAGCTAATACAATCCTTGGTTGTATAAACAGAGGCATAGAATCAAAATAATCTGAATATTAGTACTGCCTTACAAAGCCTTAGTAAGCTCTGGAAACTGCATCCACCACATTACAAAAAAGATGTTGAGATTTTGTAAAAAGTGCAGAGAAGAACAACTAAAATGATTAAAAGCCTGGAGACTAAAACATATGAAGAATGATTTAGCTTTGGCTAGTTTAGAGAAAAGAAGGACTAGGGGGGACACGAAAGCAGTGTCCCAGTATTTGAGGGGCTACCACAAAGAGGAGGGGATCAACTTATTTTCCAAAGCACCAGGAGGCAGAACAAGAAACGATGGAAACTAATCAAGGAGAGAAGCAACCTGGAATTAAGGAGAAACTTCCTAACAGTGAGAACAATTAAC